CGGCCTTATCTGTAATATCGTCAGTCTACGGCCTTATCTGTAATATCGTCAGTCTACGGCCTTATCTGTAATATCGTCAGTCTACGGCCTTGTCTGTAATATCGTCAGCCTACGGCCTTATCTGTAATATCGTCAATCTATGGCCTTATCTGTAATATCGTCAGCCTACGGCCTTATCTGTAATATCGTCAATCTACGGCCTTATCTGTAATATCGTCAGTCTATGGCCTTATCTGTAATATCGTCAATCTACGGCCTTGTCTGTAATATCGTCAATCTACGGCCTTATCTGTAATATCGTCAGTCTACGGCCTTATCTGTAATATCGTCAGTCTACGGCCTTATCTGTAATATCGTCAATCTACGGCCTTTCCGTAGACTGACGATATTGCAGATAAGGCCGTAGACTGACGATATTACTGATAAGGCCATAGACTGACGATATTACAGATAAGGCCGAAGACTGACGATATTACAGATAAGGCCGTAGACTGACGATATTACAGATAAGGCCGTAGACTGACGATATTACAGATAAGGCCGTAGATTGACGATATTACAGACCAGATAAGGCCGTAGACTGACGATATTACAGATAAGGTGTTCAGAGAACTGAAGTTGTATTACTATTATATAAGTAAAGATAGATATCAAGATATATTTATTTCAGGTCTGGAACTGATTTTGCTTTGTTATAGTGCTAAGATATTTTTGTACTTTTTTTGACCATGAAATTCTAACCCAAAAACTTTTGTTTAAAGTTTGGAAATGTCACTAACAATATAAAGACGAGAAGCGTGTATCAAGTTAACTTACCTCGTTACCAGTTCACTTAATTAAAGACGAAATGTAAATATAAAACCACTTTACATCGTTATAAGTTGTTTTAATAAAGAAGTTGAATCCCTGCTAGAACAAGCACAAAGATCAGAAACTTTATATAGAGGCAAGTATTTAACATGTTAATAAGATGATGAGGGACGTGCCTATCATTACCTTGACAATTAGTTGGTGACCCCTCTTTATATTTCTCGCTGATTTTAAACATGCAACTTTCTGCTCAGCTGTATCTTCACACACGAGCTTCATGGTTCATGAAGAAATGATGAACGACTTGATGACAAGTTAGACAAGGATG